GCCCAGCTCCAATGTGCTTCTCAGGAGAACAGAGGACGGTAATAGTGGCTGGAGCCAGTGCAGAAACAGATTTGGAGGCCTGCAAAGGTTTTTGGGAAAGTTCTGTAACAAGCAGCAACAGTGCATGGACAAAGGAAAACTTCAAAGGTCACCTTTAATAGCACAGCACTCAGGGAATGCGACTGCCAGGGACCATCTCAGTGAACCTCCAGGGCCATCACAGGACTTCCAGAAGGAAGAGGGTGCATGGAAATGAGTTCTAGGAAAATGGTGTTAATGTACTAGATAAAAAAAAATTAATTTCTGTGTATGGTTATAGTGGATAAAAACACTGTTGTAAAGTCTCATAACACACACAGAAATAAGGAGAGATCCTTCTGCATGTCCTGCTGCCTAATATTTCACTGATACCAGCATTAGTTTGTGTTAGGAAACTTATTCTGTCTGATTTTCATATCACTCCGCATCCCCATCTCCACCACACTCCTCATCCTATGCCATGCCATGCCATGCCATGCCATGCCATGCCATGCCATGCCATGCCACCCCATCCCTCCCATCCCGATGGGTTCCCAGTCCCTGGCCTCTAAATGGCTGCAGGTGTGGCCTGTTGGGCTCTGCTGCTGTCCAGTGGCAGATTTGGGATTGGTGGCACCCAGAGCCCTCCTGCCCCCTCCAGCCCCTGTCTGCCTGATGCCTTGGGCTGGCTCCCTGGAACAGAGGCCAGACCAGGTGAAGAGAATCAAAGGAGGCATTGATGAAAGGCCTTCAAAAGGTTCACCTTGGGCTCTCCAAGCCTCCAAGAGGGGCTGCACCCAAAATGGACAATGGTCATGAGTTTTTCAGACAGATAAAAGTTTGGTCCATTTACAAATCAGGGGTTAATCCTCCAATTACAGCTTCAGGTAATGAAGTCATTTAGCCCCAGTTTGCCTTCCCCAATTCACTTTTGTCTGTACTTTTCTGGGCCTGAGGCAGTAGAATGTCCTTGAATTTCAAGCCTAGAGGGATTGTTTTGTCTGACCAAAATGTGCAGACAGTTAACTAACACTTTCCATGGAGTTTAGAGTAATGCACTAATGCAATACAGGATATGAAAAATAGAAAGGCTAAAATCCTAAGGCATCATGCCCCCTCTGACATCCTCTAGAAATTGCCCCCAGGCTGCCTTCCCCTCCAGACAGCCCCGCTCCTCTCCTGCCCCACTCAGGAGCCCCAGCAGTGTTTGTGCTCCTCCTGGCAATTCCATGCTTCTCCAGCCCAATGAAGAGCAGTGGAGCCATCCCTGTAGTGCCTCTTGTTTGTGTCCAAAGGAGGTTGGGGGGCTGGAGAGCAGGGATGGAGCTGGGGAGGGGCATCTCCAAGAGAAAGACGGCCCCAAAGCCTTCCGGGGCAGGCTGGGGTGAGCAGCCCGTGGGGAGGGACTGGAGCCTGAGGCCCGGGGCTGGGAGGGATGGGAAGGACGGGAGGTGGGTGGGCTGCATGGGGAGTGGGATGGGAGGGTGGTGTGGGAGGGGTGGGACATGATGGAGCTGCTGGGAAGATGTGGTGGGAAGGTGTGGGGTGTGGTGGGTCTGGAGAGAAGGTGTGGGATGTGGGGATGTGGTGGTGCTGGAGAGAAGGTGTGGGGTGTGGTGGGGCTGGAGAGAAGGTGTGGGGTGTGGTGGGGCTGGTGGCCTCAGGGTAGCCCCAGGGAGGGGGGTGGTGCCCCGTGGAGCCCATGGTGACAAACACAGGTGTCACCCTGCTCCTGGAAGGGGGTGGCTGTGCTGAGGATCACGGCCTCCTCCTCTCCTTGCTGCTGCACCACCTGAGCCTGCTGAGGGAGCAGCTGAAGGCAGTGGAGAGGAAGAATTTCTGAAGGCAGACACACCTTTGCACCTGGCTCACAAAATTAAAAATTAAAGATCTTTGAGGAGATCTCTGCTGTAACACTCACAGAGCACTCAGGGTGGGGAATGCTGAGCCCCTGGGCTGTAGTAAACATTACAGGCCTAGCAAAGGTGCCCTGGAGAATGTTACAATAGGAATGCTGATGCAGCAAAGAAGTTCCTGTCCCCCTGACCCAGAATCTATACCCTTTTAAGGAAAAATCTTGTAACTCCTACCTATTGGTCACTTATGATTCTTCCAACCTTATGCCATTGGTCTGGCTTGGAAGGCTGCCAAGGCTATAAAAGTAGCATACTGTACCCTACTAACCTTGAAGAAGAGGAGCTGAAACCCTTCACAGCACCCTGAATAAAGACATCGCTGTGGAATCACTCAGCCTCGGCTCCTTCTCCTCTCTCTCAGTCTGCTGGAGCCTCAAGGCAAAGCGCAAACTTCCTAGCAGCAAGCTGAAATCTAAAGCTGGCTAATCAGTATAAGAGCTGAATATATCACAAGCTTGCTAGGGGTTTGACTCTGTGGCCTTGGTCTGAGCAAGCAGCCTATGGCGCTCTCTCCCTCTGGGGAAGGAGCTCCCTGGATAATGCTCTGCTCTTGATAAGACCAGATTAAGGCTCATTACTGGGCCATCATGTCTGTGCCAGCCCAGCTCTGGGCACTGGGGATCATGGTTTCTCCAGGGATCACAAGCCATGGCTGTGTCCCCTCTGAAATCAAGACATTTTACGTCTAACCAAATAAGTGTGTTAGATTAATAACAATTTTCCATCAAAATTGTGAACATATTGGAAATTTATTTGCCATAGATACCTCCAAAGAAACAACAATTTTCAGGCATTTTTATACACCATAATATCCAACATTTTTTATAGATGCTCCCCAAAGTGCTCCAAATTTCTTACCTCATGGTACTGATGTCTTGTTTAATTCCTACCAGAACTTGCAGAATCTCTTTGTTTAATGGATAACCCGTGTTTTTCCCAGGCAAATAGTTTTGTACTGGCAGTACACCAATGCTAGCGAAGAACCCCCTTGCCCTGGCTCCCTGCAGTGTTTGTGGGTAGGAGGGAGAGGCTGGGGAAAAAAGGGTGGTTTAAAGTTTTATATTACTTCTCATTATCATCCTCTGACTCTGTATATAATAAATTTACTTAATACCATTAAATTTGAACAAATTTTTCTATTCTTGGGGTGTTTTTTCTCCCAGTCCTCATCTCAACTCATGAGCCCTTTCTTAATTTTTGTTTCCCTCTCCTCTGCCCAGCTGAGAGCAGGAGAAGGTGAGTGAATGTCTTTCATGGGTGCCTGGCGTTTGGCCAGTGCCAAACCACGACAGGCTTGCAGCAGGTTATCAGCATCAGAGCCCACATTTCTTACTGACAGTACCCTTGATGGTGCAATAAAAGTTATTGGAGATCAGATGTTGGGGTGCTGGGGTGCCCCTTGCAGCCCTTCACCAGAGCTCATCCTCCTCCTCCTCAGCCTTGGGAATACTTGTGGTTGTTTTTTCCTCATCTCACCCTTTGCAAGCAGGGACACCTTCCACTAGACTGGGCTGCTTCAAACCCCATCCAGCCTGGCCTGGAACAATTCCAGGGATGGAGTGGTCAGAGCATCTCTGGGAACCTGTGCCAGGGCCTCTCTGCCCTCACAGGGAGGAATTTCTTCCCAATATTCCATCTAACCCAGTTCTCTGGTAGTGGGAAGCCATTCCCCCTTGTCCTGTCACTTCAGGCCTTTGTCCAATGCGCCTCTCCAGTTCTTGGAGCCTTTTTAGGCCCTGGAAGGGGCTCTAAGGTCTCCCTGAAGCCTTCCCTTTTCGAGGCTGAACAGCCCCAGCTCAGAGACCTCAGAGAAGTCACAGGGAGGGGGTTGATGCCCCGTGGAGACAACGGTGACAAACACAGACATCACCCTGCTCCTGGAAGGGGGTGGCTGTGCTGAGGAGCACGGACGTCTCCTCCCCTTGGAGCTGCACCATCTGAGCCTGCTGAGGGAGAGGCCAAAGCCAGGGCAGAGGAAGAATTTCTGAAGGCACCAAAGAACCAGCAAGGATATCAGTAAAAACAGTAAAATCAGTAAAAAGGTTTAACAATGAGCAACAGCACACCAAAGCGCTGTCCCTGTGTGTGTTTTTGTGTGTGTTCAAGGGCATCTGACAAAAGGACACAGGGTAGGGATAAAAAGAAGGTTAAGGATAAAAAAGAAAAGAGCCTAAAAGATTTACAGCACTCCAACTTAACAGTATTCCATTTATAGTTTCAAGTTAGCCATTCAACAGAGGAACATCTCTTAACTGCTTTAACTTACGTCTTATACTTCCTTCCATGCCTGCCCCAGTGAGATGTCTCAGGTACTACTAACACAGCTGAGAGAGCAGCATTTCTGCCACATTTGCCAGAGCAGATGCAGACGTGTGTGCACACAGCCAGCCAGGCAGGCAGAGTGAGTGCAAGGTGCCTGTGAGCAATTGCCCTGGCAGGCAGTGAAATGCTCCCTGCGGATCCCTTTGCATCTCCCTGGGCCAAGGGCTGGGCCTGGAGCCCTGGCGGGATGGGCCCAGGAGCCGTGGGCGTTCGGGGATCAGCCCAGGGCAGCAGCCGGGAGAGATCCCAGCTGGGAGAGGCCCCAGTGCCAGGGAGCTTCTGCTCAGCGCTGCTGGGCCCAGCAGAGCTCCAAGGCTCTCCTTTGGGGCCGCTGCTCACAGGGCCCCAAGGCATGGGCGGCACTCACAGCAATGGCTCAGCCTGGCCACACTTGGGGCCGGCAGCTTCCTGGGACAGTGGCAGAGCAGGGATGCTGTGGCATCCAAGGCAGTACAATAATTTCCAAGGCTGTTGATAAAAGCCCAGGAGGTGGTTGGACAGCAGCAGTTGCTGGGAGCAGAGGGTGTTTCTGATCAGCGCCACAGGAGCTGAGCCCAGGGGCTGCTCCTCAAGGCTGAGGCCTCCCAAGCACAGATCAGAGCCCAGAGCGACCTGGAAAGGGGCTGGGGATGCAGCAGCACAGGGAGGGTGATCCTGTGGGTATTTATTGATCAGGAGACTCAAGGAATTTCTCAGCCACTGTCCCAGGGTCCTTCAGCAGTGCAGTGGAAGGGATCAAGAGGCTCAGGCCTCTCTGTACATGGTGGTCTCATGGCTGTGGGCAGTGTTTTCTTCTGGCTCCTCAAAGACCCTCTGGAGGGAGAGCAGGAGGGACTCCACAGAGCAGGGCCTCCAGCACCTCCCCACCAAGAAGCAAATGATGGGGTTGCTGCTTCTGTGGATGCAGATGAGCAGGAAAAGAACCTGGGAGGGCAAAATGGTGTAGCTGAGTTCCTGCAGGAAATGGCAGAGGATGAGGGGCAGAGTGAAGAGCACAAAGAGGCAGATAACAATATCGAGTCTCTTGGGCTGCTGCTGATGGGAGCCAGGCTTGAAATGAGTGAAGACAATTTTGCTGGAAATGAGGATGAAGGGAGCACAGAGGAGGAGGTTGAAGGCGTGCATGGAGATGTAAGAAACCCAGCAATGCTCAGATAACAAGACAATGCATGGAGAAAATATTATGGCAATGACAATGATGAAAGTGATGAAGAAGGCCCCGAGCATGGCATGGATCACCTTCAACAGCTGCTGGGGATGGTGGCAGCAGTGCCAGAGCGGGCAGTGGGTGGACCTGCACCTCTTGATGCTGATGAATGTCAGTGTGCACAACCACACGCTGTGTGACACTGCTGAGATCCTGAAAAGCAACCCCACGTACTGCAAGGGCATGATGCTAGAGCAGGACACATTCTCCAGCAGGAAGAGCAGAGTGGAGGGCAACACAAAGAGGAGGAGGAGGAAGTCCAAAAAAGTCAGCATCAGAATGTAAAGGATGGTGTTGTTCCTGGACAAAAAGTGGGACCCAAGGAGCCAGAGCACAGCCCCATTCCCAGCCAGCCCACAGAGGCAGATGACCAGGGTCACACTGTGGGTGGCCACACTGGTGACATCTGTCTCACAGAGATCATCTCCTTCAGTGGGTGAGGCAGGAGATGGGGACACGGTGGTCACCTCCAAGGGTGGACGCTGGGCAGGCAGTGGGATGTGGCCCCTGGCTGTGGTCAGAGTGGATGGGCAGTCAGTGCTTGGAGAATGCAGGGATGGACCATGTGGCTCCTCAGCATCTCCCTACTGTGGGAAGGGTTCAGTGGGGATGAGTGAGATGTGCAGGGGAGGAGGGCAGTGGGAAGAGGAGGGTAGTGGGAATTGTGGGTTGGGAGAGGGAAGCAGTGTGCTTGGACTGTTCAGCAGGAGATGCAGAAGGGAAGTGCTGGATAGAGGAGGGAGGATCTGGGGAGGGCCCTGCGGTCACTGGGAGAGGGTGGCAGGAATAGAGCAGCTGCTGCAGGAGAGGAAGGTGGGGTAGGGAGGAAGGCAAACATTCCACTGACCTGTTCCCTGTGGGGCAGCAGCAGGCAAAGGGGTCTGTGCAGATCAGCGGTGCTTCCTGGTCCCTCTTGCTCCTTTGGGATCCATGTCCTAAAGCAGCTCCTGCCAGGTCAGGGACATGAAGGAGAAAGTGCCCAGCTCACCAGGAGCTCCCCATTCCCGTCCTGCTGGCTCCTCTCTGTATGTTCTGTCCTGGTGTTGCTCCCCAGATGTCAGTGGAGTCAAAGGGGAGTTGGAAATTGCAGCTTTTGGTATTTCAGAACCTCACTTCCTCAGTGTTTTTGTCTTGGTTTTTATCTTCTACAGAGGAAGTAGCTTTTGAGAAAAGCACCAAATGAAACATTTTGCAAATGGCTCCTCATTTCCTTCTGATGAGAAACATTCCTGTCCTGCAGAGTGTCCCATTCTCCAACTGCCTTCCCTCTCCTGATAGGTTTCTACCATTCCTTGCTTCTCTCTCCTGCGGTGTCACTGTCCCTCCAGCAGCAGAGGGATGCTGGTGGTGCTGGTGGTACTGGAATGCTGGCAGTGCTGGCAGTGCTGGTGAGTCAGCTGGCTGCTTGTCAGAAGTAACTCCTATTTAGGGAGGAGCTCTGGGATCATTGCCAAAGCCTCCCCTGGGTGGAAAGAAGCAGAGCTGAGCTTGTCCCTATCCTATCCTATCCTATCCTATCCTATCCTATCCTATCCTATCCTATCCTATCCTATCCTATCCCAATCTCTGCACCCCATCCCCACCCCACTCTCCATCCTCACCCCATCCTATCACATCCCACAGCTTTCCCAGATGGAGCCGTTCCCCCACTCTGAGCGTGGCCTGTCAGGCTCTGCTCTCCTCTGCCTTTGCCAGCATCCAGACCCCCTCCAGCCCCCTCTGACCCTCTCCTGACCCCTCCAGCCTGCTCTGACACCCCAGAACCCACCCAGGGCTGATTTTTTCCCCTGACAGTCACAATCCTCCCCTGCTCCACCAGGGACCCTGGCAGTGTCCCTGCTCCTCTTGGCCACAGGGTTCTAGGACCCAGGAGGGAGGAGGAAAGCCCAACTCCAATGTGCTCCTCAGGATCACACAGGATGATAAATGTGGCTGGAGCCAGTGCAGAAACAGATTTGCAGGCCTGCAGTGGTTTTGGGGCAAGTTCTGTAACAAGAACTCTGTGAAGAAGCAAGAGCACATGGCCAAAGGAAAAGTTCAAGGCAAGGTCACCTTTAATATCTCAGCACTCAGTGAATGCAACCACCAGAGACCCCTCTGAATGATCCTTTAGGGTCAGGAAAGGACTTGGAGTGGGACACATGGATATTAGTTCTAGGAATATTATATTTATGTATTAGCTAAGAAACACACTTAAATGACCGTGTATGGTTATGATGGATAAAACCCCCGTTGTAACCCCTGTAACCACACACAGACTAGGGAGAGATCCTTCTGTATGTGCCTTGCAGCTAGGGAATTCCTGCTTCCTAATGCTTCCCATTGTGTTAGAAAGTTTATTTCAGCTGATCTCAGTGTCACGATATAGAGGGGAAGCACAGGGCAGAGGAGGGGGGAGCTTTGGAGGGCACTGGGGTCACCCAGAGAGGGTGTCAGGAACAGAGCAGCTGCTGCAGGAGAGGAAGGTGGGGTAGGGAGGAAGGCAAACATTCCACTGACCTGTTCCCTGTGGGGCAGCAGCAGGCAAAGGGGTCTGTGCAGATCAGCGGCGCTTCCTGGTCCCTCTTGCTCCTTTGGGATCCATGTCCTAAAGCAGCTCCTGCCAGGTCAGGGACATGAAGGAGAAAGTGCCCAGGTCACCAGGAGCTCCCCATTGCCGTCCCGCTGGCTCCTCTCTGTGCCCTGTCCTGGTGTTGCTCCCCAAGGCTTGGTGGAGTCAAGGGGGAGCAGGAAATTGCATCTTTGGCTACATCAGAATTTCCCTTACTCTGAGTTATTTGTCTTGACCATTTTTTTCTGTCATAGAGGAAGTGGCTTGATATGCAGATTTCTTTGAATGGCTCCTCATTTCCTCCTGATTATAAACTCTTTTCCAAATGGGACATTCTTCAAATGCTTTCCCTCTCTCAGCAAGTTTCTACCATTCCTCATTTATCTACCCTGAGGAGTCACTGTCCCTACAGGAGCAGAGAGCTGCTGGTGGGTCTGGTAGCACTGGAATGCTGCTGGCAGTGCTGGAAGTGCTCACAGCACTGTGCAAGCATCTGGGTGCTTCTCAGAAACAACTCCCATTCTGGGTTGATTTTCAGGATCATTGCCAAAACCTTCCCTGGCCCCAGGAAAGCAAACCGAGCAGAGAATTCCCATTTCTGTGATTGCAATGCAGACTCACACAGCCCAAGGGAAGGAGAGCACTGAGTTGCTTGCAACCAGGTCAGCAGCACTTAGAGCCCACCCTGATTACTGCAAATCCCCTTGATGATGCAATGAAAGCTATCAGGGACCAGGGTGATGTGATCCCCTTTCCAGCCCTTCATTAGGGCTCATCCTCCTCCTCCTTAGACACGGAAGCCCTTGTGTTTGTTTTTACCTGACCCCATCCCTCTGAGCAACCTGTGCCAGGGCCTCAGTGCCCTCACAGGGAAGGATTTCTTCCCAATGTCCAATCTGACCCCACCCTCTGTCAGTGGGAAGCCATTCCCCCTTGCCCTGTCACTCCATGCCCTTGTCCAAAATGCCTCTCCACCGGTTCTAGAGCCCCATCAGCTCCTGGATCATGAAGTGTTTGCCCTTGAAAGGATTGGGCTGGTGAGGGGTTGTGAGATTCCACAGCTAGGGACACAAACATGATGTCAGCAGGAAGAGAGGTGACAGTTGTGGTCCCAGGGCCAGCAGTTTCCAGCAGGAGCATCCCAGATCCCTGAGGCACATGTGAGACTGGGTGGGAATCATCTCACCTCAGCTTCTTAGGAATTCCTTGAATTCACTGTGGGCTGCTGTCTGACTGCCAAGAGAGTGTAGAGGATGACTCAGATGAAACCTGCAACTTTCTAAGGATCAATGCCGAGAGAGCAGCATGGATTTACCTTCTCTCTCAGAAGAAATGTAATTGGTGAAATCCTAAATCATCCCTCTGCTGTGTTCCTGTGCTCCAGCCAGCCCGGTGGGAAGGCATCCCAGGGGAGCTGGAATGAGGAGAGCCACAACAACTGGAGCCAGTGTGACAGCAGGCAGTGGAGCAAAGTGCCTGTCCCATTGCTGCTGCTGCTGCTGTGCCTGTGTGGGATGGTGGGAATGGGGCTGTGCTCTGGCTCCTTGGCCAACAGCAGTGCCCTCCCTCTGACTGACTTCCTGGCTGGGAGCTGTGCAAAGGAATTCACCCCCTCTGGTAGTGCTGCCTTCCAGAGGGCTTTTGATGTCTTTGTGCCAGAGCTAGGGAATAGGGACAATAGAGGGGAGTCATCATCAAGTGGAATCATCATGAAAAAGAGGCATCATAAAATAGAACAATAAAATATCCAGAGTTGGAATGGAGCCACAAACACCATGGAGTTGAGCTCCTGGCCCTGCACAGGACATCCCAGCAATCCCAGCCTGTGCCTAAGAGCATTGTCCAAATGCTCCTTGAGCTCTGTCAGGCTGGTGCTGTGTGCAGGAGGGGAACTCCTGCTTGGGGTGGTTGCTGGATGACCTGAGGAATCATCATGGAATAGTTTGGGTTGGAAGGAACCTTAGAGATCATCTCATTCCATCTCTCCTTCTGCCATGGGCAGGGAAACCCAGGAAAACTTTTGGTTTGAAGTCGGTGCTCTTTAGAAAGGAAGGTCAGGGAGGGAGTGGCCTGGGTGACAGTGGAGACAAGGAAGGTGCTGGGAACTTGGAAAAGTACAGTGAGGATCATGATCTTATTGCACTTGCCTTGAGAGAATCCCCTTGGCTGAAATGTCATTCCCTGGATAAGATGTTGTGGAAAGATCCTACTCTCCACTGGGCAGAAAAAGTGGAGACAGGGAGAGAAAACCCCTTTCAGAGGTCAAAGTGTCTCTGTTCTCTTAATTATAATCAACTTGTTAGGAGTTAGAAATGCTTATGAGCATTATAAATGTTCCTAAGATCTTAAACCTCATGTGTGTCTCAAAGTTTCACTCCACAGAAGGCTTTCACTCAGTTCCCTTTCCAGAAGCAGTGGTGCATTGGTTTCCCTGGATTTAAGGCAATGGGAAAAGGAGGGACAACTTCCCCCTGAGCAAGAGATGTGGCTGCTGCCCAGGTCTCTCCCAGCAGGAATCAGGAGCTCTTGGCACTGCCAACATCATCCCAATCATTGCAGGCACGTGCCTTAGGAAGGGCTCTGGTATGAGACAGGAACCTGCCCTGCTCCCAGAGCAGCCAGAGGCTTTAGAATGGGATAAAAGAAGGAAATGAGCCATGTTGGATGCTGTTCAACAGGGACAGGCTCAGCAGTCATGCCTGGATGCTTTTTATTCAACAAATTTTGGGTCCGATATTACCCCAATGCAGGCAAAAAACCCCCATGAATCCAAATCTGATTGAGGGGTAGTTTCAGAATGACAAAGATCAGGAGAGGCTGGACTGTGGCTGGAGCTGCTGTGCAGAGTGGCTGTGCAGCTCCTCCTGAGGGTGGCCAGGTTCAGGATGGAGGTGCTCAAGGGCTTCCCTGGACACTGATGCTGGGGAACCAGAGCATGGATGGCCCCATTCTGCAGAAGAGCAGCATAACCCCCTAATCTCTGTGCAATTCAATGGTCCGAGCATCTGGTGATGGGAATTTCCATATTCCATGTACTTTCTGGATACAGGCACAAAGGATCAGTGGAGTTCACTCTGAACACTGCATTTTACTCTGAAGGATTTGATTCTGGAATTGAAGAATGTGAGACATTCCCAGTGAAAGGATAAGGGAATGTTGCTGTCCCTCCCCAGCTCTGCAGCCCTACCTGGTGTCCCTTCCCATCAGCTGGGAATGCAGGGCCGGCTCTGCTGGACAGAAGGGGAAGGATGCTCCCTGTGATCCCAACCCCTCTCCTGCCATCCAGAGGCACCAGCCCTGCAGGGATTTGGGAAATCACTGCGACCCCATGCTGGGTGTGTCCCCAGGGATTAAGGTGTCCCATGCTTTGCAGGCAAGAGCTCCCTGGAAACACCAGGGAACTCATCTGCTGAGGCAAAGGAGATGGAGTTCATTCCCTGGGGCTGAGGCCATGAGGGTCATTGCATGGGGAATAGAGCTGGGGAACAGCACTGAGCCCAGCTGCACTGCTTGGAGCCATGTGGATCCAGGATCAAGGATGAAACCATGCTCTAATGTGCTCCCTGCAGAGCATCCCGCAAAAATCACCCAAGGCAATGCTCCTGCTCCCTTTTGCTGCAGGAATACAGCACCATGGGGAGGGTGATCCTGTGTGTATTGATTCATCAGGAGGCTCAAGGAAACCGTCAGCCATTCTCCTCAGGTCCTACAGCAGAGCAGTGGAAGGGATCAAAGTGCTGTGAGAGTCTGTTCGAAATATCCTTGATTTTTGCGTCATGATTGCCAGGAAGACCACCAAAAAGTCAAAAACTGTTGAGCGGGTGGGATATGGGGAATCACATTCTTCTTAGCTCAATGTGTCCACAGGTGTTGTTTGATAACACGCCACGCTGATCTTGAAGGGGCACCCTGCCCTTTCTGAACAATGGACCTGGACTTTCTCCCCACCTCCTGGCCTGTCTGGTTTGAGCTTTGGGGTGGTCCCTCTTCCTAGAGAAGACCCCTCTCGCCTGCCTTCCACCATCATGACAGACAAGCAGAGATGTAGGCCTCTTCATCAAGGAACCAAGACAAGAAACTCCTGTGCAAGAAAACCCCCCTCACACCTTCTTCCAGAGACTGGGATGGAACCGTTCTCAACTCGGGGGAGGTGTGCAGTGTGGGGAGGAAAAGCTGCCCAGAGTAAGCGCAGTGTGAGCACTGGGCCGTGAAAACAATGGTACCTGTTGCCTGGCTTGAGTTTGTGTACCCCCTATTCTTTTCCCCCTCGCAGACCTTTGTTTCGGCTGAGAAACCATTCCCCTTCCCCCAGTGAAAGATGGTATAACTGGGGTCCTGGTCAGCTGTGCCTTTTGAGATCTCCCTGGACGTGGCCTGGTGAGCTTTTGACGGCTGGACCTCAGAGGATAAAAGCAGCATCACGTTTCGGTAGCTATATCCATCTCCCATCCTTTCCTCCCTCTTTTCCTTATCTTCTCCTTTTTTCCCTGGTTCCCCCCTCACCAACGCATTTCTGTTGTGTTTAAGTCAATAAAACTGCATTTGTTGATTTTGTTACTGCAAATCCCCTGTGCCTCTGTGTGTTCTTTTTGCACCTTAAAATCACCACGTTACCGATTCACTAGGGCGGATCGCGAGAAGTGCCCCGACCGCTGAGTCCATGATGGACTCATCGCTGTGGGCGATGTGTTCTTCAGCCACCTCAAAGACCCTGTTTTCTTCTGCCTCCTCAAAGACCCTGTTCTGCCTCCTCAAAGACCCTCTGAAGGGAGAGCTGGAGGGGCTCCATGGAGCAGGGCCTCCAGCATCTCCCCACCAAGAAATAGATGAAGGGTTTGATGCTGCTGTGGATGCAAGTGAGCAGGAAAACAACTTGTGAGGACACAGTGCTGTAACCGAGCTGCTGCAGGAAATCACACAGATTGAGGAGGAGATTGAGGAGCACAATGAGGAAGATAATGATGGCGTACCTCTTGGGTTGCTGCTGCTGGGAGCTCTGCCTGGCGTTAATGAAGCTGACTGTGCTGGAAATGAACACGGGTGCAACGACGAGGAGAAGGATGAGGGTGTACATGGAGATGAGAGCTGCCCGGCAGTGCTGCTGCTCTTGTGATGGGCACAGGAATGTCACTGTGGGAATGACAACAAACAGAGCGAAGAAGGCACAGAATTGGAAACTAAGCACCAGCCACACCAGGCGCAGAGAAGGCTTCCAGCAGCAGCAGAGCCAGCAGAGCTTGTACCACATAAAGGTGTTCTGCATCATCCAGAGCACCCTGTAGGTGGAGACCACTGAGAGCTGGAAAAGGATGTCCAGGTACATCAAGGGCAGGATAGGAGGGCAGGACACATCCTCCACCAGGAAGAGGAGGGCGGAGGGGAGTGCAAAGAAGAGGAAGAGGAAGTCAGTGAAAGCCAGGTCAAAGATGCCAAGGTTGCAGGTTTTCAGTCTGAGGAGCCAGAGCACAGCCCCATTCCCAGCCAGCCCACAGAGGCCAATGAGCAGTGTCACACTGTGTATGGCCACGCTGGTGACATCTGTCTCACACAGATCATCTCCTTCAGTGGGTGAGGCAGGAGATGGGGACACGGTGGTCACCTCCATGGATGGACGCTGGCAGGCAGTGGGATGTGGCCCCTGGCTGTGGTCAGAGTGGATGGGCAGTCAGTGCTTGGAGAATCCAGGGATGGACCATGTGGCTCCTCAGCAGCTCCCTGCAGTGGGAAGGGTTCAGTGGGGAGGAGTGAGGTGCGAGGGTTTTCAGCAGGGCATGTGGAAGAAAAGCTCAGGGCAGAGGAGGGGGGAGCTGGAGGGGGCACTGGGGTCAGCGGGAGAGGGTGTCAGGAACAGAGCAGCTGCTGCAGGAGAGGAAGGTGGGGTAGGGAGGAAGGCAAACATTCCACTGACCTGTTCCCTGTGGGGCAGCAGCAGGCAAAGGGGTCTGTGCAGATCAGCGGCGCTTCCTGGTCCCTCTTGCTCCTTTGGGATCCATGTCCTAAAGCGGCTCCTGCCAGGTCAGGGACATGAGGGAGAAAGTGCCCACATCACCAGGAGCTCCCCATTCTCATCCTGCTGGCACCTCTCTGTGCCCTGTCCTCGTGCTGCTCCCCAAGGCTAAATGGGGTCATAGGGCAGGCGGAAATTGTTTTACAACTTCAGCTACGTCAGAGCTCCACTCCCTCATAGTTATTTATCTTGATTATTTTTTTTTCTTGGCCCCAAAGGAACTGGCTTTTGTCACAAGTCCACATGAAGGATTTTGCAAATGGCTCCTCTATTTCTTCTGATTAGAAACATTCCTTCCCTGCACAATGTCCCATTCTCCAACTCTCTTCTCTCTACCATTCCTCATTTCTCTTCCCTGAGGGGTCATTGTCCCTCCAGCAGCAGAGGGATGCTGGTGGTGCTGGTGGCACTGGAATGCTGCTGGCAGTGCTGGCAGTGCTGGTGAAGAGTCTGGCTGCTTGTCAGAAACTGCTCCCATTTTGGGAAAAGCTCCAGAATCATTGCCAGAACTACCCCTTTGCCCAATGAAGCAAAACTGAGGCAAGAATTCCCATTTTTGCATTCTCCCGCAGGCTCACACAGCTCAAGGGAAGGACAGCACTCTGTTGCTTGCAGCCAGGCTATCAGCAATTGGGGCCCACCCTAATTACTGCCAATCCCCTTGATGATGCAATGAAAGCTATCAGGGACCAGAGTGCTGTGAACTCCCTGCCAGCCCTTCTCCAGAGCTACTCCTGCTCCTCCTCAGTCCTCGGAACGCTTGGGGTTGTTTGTGACACCTGATCCCAGACTGTCCCTTTGCAAGCAGAGATAACTGCCACTATACCAGATTGCTCCAAACCCCATCCAGCCTGGCCTTGGTGACTTTCAGGGATCCAGGGACAGCCACAGCCTCACAGGGCAACCTGTGCCTGGGCCCCAGCACCCTCACAGGGAAGGATTTCTTCCCAATATCCAATCTGACCCCACCCTCTGTCAGTGGGAAGCCATTGCCCCTTGTCCTGTCACTCCATGCCCTTGTCCAAAGTCCCTCTCCACCTCTCCTGGAGCCCCATCAGCTCCTGGATCATGAAGTGTTTGCCCTTGAAAAGATTGGGGTGGTGAGGGGATGTGAGATTCCATAGCTGGGGACACAAACACGGTGTCAGCAGGGAAGAGAGGTGACAGTTCTGGTCCCAGGGCCAGCAGTTTCCAGGAGGAGCATCCCAATCCCTGAGGCACATGTCAGCCTGGGTAGGAATCATCTCACCTCAGCTTTCTAGGAATTCCTTGGAATTCACTGTAGGCTGCTGTCTGACTGCCAAGGGAGTGTAGAGGATGACTCAGAGGAAACCTGCAACGTTCCAAGGATTAAAGCCACGGTGTTGTCAATGCAGAGAGATGGGGAGACTGACTTGGTGATCAGAATCCAATTTTATTGTGGGATACAAATCTTTATATACTATTTCAGGGGGACTAGTAATGTGTACTACAATGATTAGGTTAAAATCACATACACAATGTTATGCATCTAACAACATCTCTTGCTTCCAGAGTTTAATGGGATTTTCTTTTTCCGGTAAACCTGCCTTATTAATTCTTTTTGCAATCTAGGTCTAATTTTCAAAGTTCTGTTTGCTTTTGCCAAGGCATTCTGTTATCAAACTCCTATGTTAACCAGGTCCAAAGTCCATCATCTGTCTTGTGTCCCCCAACATTCCAATACCATGGGAGTAGCATTGATTTGCCTCTTCTCAGAAGAAATGACCTGGCAGAACTCCTAAATCATCCATCTGCTCTCTGCCAGTGCTCCAGCTCATGCACAGAATTTATTATTGTATGAATCCTCTTGGAAACTGAATGTTTAAGGTGAAGTACCACTGAACTTGCAGTATACAAGTGGGAAAAATAGATTTGAATCAGAAATCAAAGTTTAACAGGACATTTGTACTGCAGGGTACCAAAGATCCACCTCAAGAATGAGAGGGGGCAAGTTCAGGCTGTTCAAAAGACAAGATTTTGGGATTGAGGTTGCTATAAAATAGAATAGAAGCTGAGATGGAGCCCAAGTGCTTTGGGCACAGGTGTGGTTGCTGAGGCTCTCTCCCGTTGCTCATTTCCCGGGCAGAGTGAAGAGCAGCTGAGGAGCAGAGCCCTGAGCCCGTGGCAGGCTCTGAGGCAGCTGCCTGTGTGTGAGAGCCCTGGAGAACACGAGGCAGCACGGAGAGCAGGGGCTGTGGCAGGAGCTGGGACAGAGCCCGCGCCGGACGCTGCTCGGGCTCAGCCCGCGGGCTGCGCTCCCCTTTGCCAAGGGACCATTCCAGGGAACCTCCTGCAGATCCCGGCCCAGGGACAGCAGCTGGAGCCTGGCAGCTGCGCAAAGGAATTCACCTCTTCTGTAATTGTTGTATTGCAGAGCTCTCTTGAGCATGTACCTAGGGAATAGGGACAACACCTGGGAGTCATCATCAAGTGGAATGATCATGAAAGAGAACCATCATGAAATAGAGCCACTCTAACCCAGTGTTGGAAGGGAGCCACAAGGTTCATGGAGTTGAGCTCCTGGCCCTGCACAGGACATCTCAACAATCCAGCCTGTGCCTGAGAGCATTGTCCAAATGCTCCTTGACCTCTGTCAGGCTGCTGCTGTGTGCAGCAGGAGAACTCCTGCCTTGGCTGGATGCAGACTGACGTGAGGAATCCTCATGGAATTGTTTGGGTTAGAAGGAACGTTAGAGATCATCTCATTCCATCTTTCCTTCTACCATGGTACAGGACATCCAGGAAAACTTATGTTTGAAATCTTTGCTCTTTTGAAAGGAAGCTCAGGTAGGGGTAGGCCTGGGTGACTGGGAAGTAGAAAACGTACATTGGAGGATCATGATCCTCCTGCATTTGCCTTCGGAGAAATTCCCTGGCTGAGTTGTTCATCCCTGGAAAAGAGGTTGCACCTTGGAAAGTGTCTTTCCAATAAACAGGAAAATGGGAGACAGAGAGAGAAAAACCTTCTCAGATGTCCAGGTGTCTCACTCTCATGTGTATGTCCAAAGCCTGACTCACCGCACAGGGCTTTCACTCTCACCTGCCTTTGCAGAAGCAGTGGCACGTTGTTTTCCCCTGGATTTAAGGCAGTGGGAAAGGAGGGACAACTTCCCCCTGAGCAAGAGATGTGGCTGCTGCCCAGGTCTCTCCCAGCAGGAATCAGGAGCTCTTGGCACTGCCAACATCATCCCAAGCATTGCAGGCACGTGCCTTAGGAAGGGCTCTGGTATGAGACAGGAACCTGCCTTGCTCACAGACCAGCCAGAGGCTTTAGAATGGCATAAAAGAAAGAAATGAACCATTTTGGAAACTGTTTAACAGGGACAGGCCCTGCAGTGAAGCCGGGATTTTGTTTATTCAACAAATTCAGAGGCTGGGACTACCACAGGGGAAAGCAACAAAAACCATGAATGCAAATCTGATTGAGGGGTGGTTACAGAATGACAAAGATCAGGAGAGGCTGGGCTGTGGCTGGAGCTGCTGTGCAGAGTGGCTGTGCAGCTCCTCCTGAGGGTGGCCAGGTTCAGGATGGAGGTGCTCAAGGGCTTCCCTGGACACTGATGCTGGGGAACCAGAGGATGGATGGTCCCATTCTGCACAAGAGCAGCATAACCCCCTAATTTCTGTGCAATTCAATGGTCCAAGCATCTGGTGATGGGAATTTCCATATTCCATGTACTTGGCACAGGAGTTCAGTGGAGTTCAGAATTGACCCTGCACTTTACTCCGAAGAATTCAATTCTGGAATTGAAGAATGTAAGAAATTCCCACTGAAAGGATAAGGGAATGTTGCTGTCCCTCCCCAGCTCTGCAGCCCTACCTGGTGTCCCTTCCCATCAGCTGGGAATGCAGGGCCGGCTCTGCTGGACAGAAGGGGAAGGATGCTCCCAGTGATCCCAACCCCTCTACTGCCATCCAGAGGCACCAGCCCTGCAGGGATTTGGGAAATCACTGCCACTCCATGATGGGTGTGTCCCCAGGGATTAAGGTGTCCCATTCTTTGCAGGCAAGAGCTCCCTGAAAACACCATGGAACTCATCTGCTGAGCCAAAGGAGATGGAGTTCATTCCCTGGGACCGAGGCCATGAGGGTCATTGCATGGGGAATAGAGCTGGGGAACGGCACTGAGCCCAGCTGCACTGCTTGGAGCCATGTGGATCCAGGAGGGAGGAGGAAAGCCATGCTGCAATGTGCTCCCTGCAGAGATCCCACAAAAATCAGCCAAGACAATGCCCCTGCTCCCTTCTCCTGCAGGAGTACAACATGACGGGGAGGGTGATGCTCTGGATATTTATTGATCAGGTGACTCAAGGAATCCCTCAGTCACTGTCCTAGGGTCACTTAGCAGTGCAGTGGGAGGAATTAACAGGTTCAGACCCCCGTGTTCATGGCAGGATCATTTCTCCATGCAGTTTCTTTTTCTGCTCCTCAAAGACCCTCTGGAGGGAGAGCCGGAGGGACCCCATGGAGCAGGGCCTCCAGCACCTCCCCAACAAGAAGTAGATGAAGGGTTTGATGCTGCTGTTGATGCAGGCGAGCAGGAAAAAAACCTCTGATGACACAACGATGTAACTGAGTTGCTGCAGGAAATTCCAGAGGCTGAGGAGGAGAGTGAAAAGCGCAATGATGAGGATAACGATGTCGCGCCTTTTGGGCTGCTGCTGCTGGGAGCCCACCTTGGAATTAATGAAATCAACTGTGATTGAAATGAGCATGGGTATAACAAAGAGGAGCAGCATGATGATGTACATGGGGATGAGAGCTGCCCGGCAGAGCTCCTGCTCATCTGATGGGCACAGGAATGTCACTGTGGGGATGACAGCAAAGAGAGCAAAGAAGGCCCAGTATTGGACACTTTCCACCGCCCACGTCAGGCGTAGAAGAAGGTTACAGCGACAGCAGAACTAGCAGAGCTTGTCCATATATACAACACGTCTCCTGGGCATCAGCCATAACAGCGCCCAGTAGTAGGAGACCACTGAGAGCTGGAAAAGGAAACTCAGGTAGAGCAGGGGCATAACAGGAGAGCAGGACACATCCTCCACCAGGAAAAGGAGGGCAGAGGGGACTGTGAGGAGGAGGAAGAGGAAATCAGTGACAGCCAGGACAAAGAAGCCATAGTTGGGGATTTTCAGGTTGAGGAGACCGATGACAGCCCCGTTCCCAGCCAGCCCACACAGGCAGATGAGCAGGGTCACACTGTGTATGGCCACGCTGGTGACATCTGTCTCACACAGATCATCTCCTTCAGTGGGTGAGGCAGGAGATGGGGACACGGTGGTCACCTCCATGGATGGACGCTGGGCAGGCAGTGGGATGTGGCCCCTGGCTGTGGTCAGAGTGGATGGGCAGTCAGGGCTTGGAGAATCCAGAGATGGACCATGTGGCTCCTGAGCAGCTCCCTGGAGTGGGAAGGGTTCAGTGGGGAGGAGTGAGATGTGTAGGGGAGGAGGGCAGTGGGAATGGTGGGGTGTGAGAGAGAGGTGGGAGGGTTGGGCTGTTTGGCACAGGGCAGAGGAGGGGGGACCTAGGGAGGGCCGTGTGGTCACCAGGAGAGGGTGTCAGGAACAGAGCAGCTGCTGCAGGAGCGGAAGGTGGGGTAGGGAGGAAGGCAAACATTGCACTGACCTGTTCCCTGTGGGGCAGCAGCAGGCAAAGGGGTCTGTGCAGATCAGCGGCGCTTCCTGGTCCCTCTTGCTCCTTTGGGATCCATGTCCTAAAGCAGCTTCTCCTAGGTCAGAACCATGCAGAAGAATGTCTCCACATCACCAGGAGCTCCCCACTCCTATCCCTCTCTGCCCTGTCCTGGTGATGCTCCCCAAGACTCAGTGGGGTCACAGGGCAGTCGGAATTGGTTTTACAACTTTGTCTGTATCAGATTTCCACAGCTTAGTGTTACTGATCTTGACTTTTTTTTCCTTTGCTACAAAGGAGGTCGATTTTTAAATGGCTGTGCAATATTTTCTGATAAGAAACAGTCCTTCCCAGCTTAAGGTGCATTCTGTAACTGCCTTCCCTCTCACAGTAGGTTTCTACCATTCCTCACTTCTCTTCTTTGAGAGGTCATGCTCCCTCCTGCAGCAACAGAATGCTGGAGCTGCTGGTGGCGCTGGAGTGCTGGCAGTGCTGGTGAGGCAGCTGGGTGCTTCCCACAAGTAACTCCCAGTCTAGGAATGGCTCCATGATACTTGCAAAAAGATGCCCTGGGCCTAAGGAAGCACAGTTGAGCTGCTTCCTTGTTCTAACCCCATACCATCCTCATTCCTGCCCCCACTCCCCATCCCCACCCCGCTCTCCATCCTCACCCCATCCTATCACATCCCACAGGTTTCCCAGATGGAGCTGTTCCCTCACTCTGAGCGTGGCCTGTCAGGCTCTGCTCTCCTCCAGTGCGGAGATTTGGGATTCACGGCTTCCAGACCCCCTGCAACCCGCTCTGACCCTCTCCTGGCCACTCCAAAAATGACTCCAATACCCCAGATGCCCCTGGGACCCCGTCCCCCCCCGAACACCATTGATCTTCCCCTGCTCCACCAGGGACTCCTGGCAGTGCCCTGCTCCTCCTGGCCATAGGGTTCTTGGACCCAGGAGGGAGGAGGAAAGCCCAGCTCCAAGGTGCTCCTCAGGATCACACAGGATGATAAATGTGGCTGGAGCCAGTGCAAAAACAGATTTGGAGGCCTGCAGGGGTTTTGGGGCAAGTTCTGTAACAAGCAGCAAGAGCACATGGCCAAAGGAAAAGTTCAAGGCAAGGTCACCTTTAATATCACAGCACTCAGTGAATGAGACCACCAGAGACTCCTCTGAATGATCATCCAGGGCCAGGAATGGACTTGGAGAAGGAGGTGGATGCATGGAAATGAGTCCTAGGAAAGTGATGTTTATATATTAGATAAGAAACACACTTTATTGACTCTGTGTGGTTGTGATGGATAAAACCCCTGTTGTAAAGTCTCACCCCAAACAGAAATTTGGAGTGATCCTTCTGTGTGTCGTCTGCTTCCTCATGCTTCTCATTGTGTTGGAAAGTTCATTCTGGCTGATTTTGGTATCACTCCAAATTCCCATCTCCACTCCTCATGCCATGCCATGCCATGCCATGCCATGCCATGCCATGCCGTGCCATGCCATGCCATGCCATGCCATCCCATCCCATGGCCGCTCCCCATGTTGAAGCTCTGTCCCTCAGGCTCTGCTGCTCTCCCATCAGGACATTTGGGATCAGCACCATCCAGATCCTTCCTGGCTCCTCCTGCTCCCTCCCACACGCCCAGACCCCCGGGGATGCTGCCCCCCCTGCCCGCCAGCCCCGCTGCACCCGGGAGCAGGGACATCTCTGCTGTGACACTCACAGAGCCCTCGGGGTGGGGAATGCTGAGCGCCTGGGCCATCGTGTCCGTGCCAGCCCAGCTCTGGCACTGGGGATCATGGCTGCTGCAGGGAGCACAAGCCATGGCTGTGTCCCCTCCCTCCAGCCACATTCCCGGCTGGCAGCAGCAGCCAGAGGAAGCCGGGAAGCGCTGGCAGAGGGGGCAAAGGCAGCTCAGGGTTCATGGTGCTGTTTATTGATATCAGACCTCAGTGGGATGCAGGAACCAGGTGCCAGGGGGAATTCTGGGGTCACAGCCGTGTTGGGAAGGATCCCTTTCAGGAAAGCAGGTTTTAAGTGTTCTGGGAGGTGTGAGAGAGGAGGGAAAGCCATGCTCCAATGTGCTCCCCGCAGAGCATCCCTCCCACATGGCCCTTGGCAATGCCCCTGCTGCCTTCCCCTGCAGGAATTGAGGTGGGAGGGTGACCCTGTGGATGTTTATTAATCAAGTGACTCAAGGAAACCCTCAGGCAATGTCCTGGGGTGCTTCATCAGTGCAGTGGAGGGGATCAACAGGCTC